CTGCCTCCGCAGGATGCTTTCGTTAATCATTAGCTAATTAATTGGCCGCTCCATCAGCTCGTTAGCAATTTCCTCTCGCATTTGGGAACAGGCTGTCTTGGGCGCGGGGGCGGCGGCGGGCAGCGGGAAAACAGGCTGGGGAGGCAGAGCCGCCTTCCTGCGCCGCGCGCGCTGCCAGGGACCGGCGGCCGCGGGGGCCGCGGGCAGCAGCGGGGCACAGCGGGCCCTCTGCCCRCGAGCGGCGCCCGGGGATGCAGCCCCAGCACCAGCGGGGACAGGGAGGGAATGGGGACAGGGATGGAGTGGGGACAAGGACGAAGCGAGGGCGGCACCTCCCGCACCCAGCCAGGGGACACAGGATGGGCCGGGGGACGCAGGACGGGCCGGTGGCCCCGCTGCGGCTCCCCGTGTCCCTATTGAGATGGGCAGAGGGCAGGAGCAGCGCCCGGGAGGGATGGGCAAAGAAACGAGCCCGAACGCCGCCCAAAGCAGAGCCCTGCGCGGGCAGGGGCGGCGGGGGCCGCTCGACACCCGGGCACAGCCCCCGGCACCCGCAGCACCAGCCCCCCAGCCAGCCAGGCCACCCTGCAGGCCCCCGAACCGCCCCGCAAGGAGCAGGGCAGGGGAAGGCGCCCTGGGGGCAAGAGCCACGGGGGCAGCTCCGGCCCTGAGCGCACACAGGGCCCTGGGCTGCTTGCGGCCCCTCTCCCTTCCCCACACAGGGTCCTGGGCTACCCCAACCCTCTCCCTTCCCCACCCCAGGCTCTGGGTGCTGTCCAGGGCCCCTCTCCCTTCCCCACACACTTGTTTTTCCCTCCGCTCAGCAGCGAAGAGCCCCAATCTGTGCAGAGCCCAAGGCAGCAGCTGTGCGTGATTCTAATTTCCCTTGGAAAAAAGAAAAAAAAACCACACGATTATTTGAACAGAAAAACGATGAATCTCTTTGAACAGAAATCTCCGCTGAATCACAGGCGGGCTGGCACAGCGGCCGGGCACGCGGCCCCGCGCCAGCAGCCCGAACCGTGGGGACGGGGACAGGAGAAGGCAGCAGAGGGGCAAGGGGCAGGYGCCGGGCAGCGCGGGTTGGCACCCGCCGTCACCCCCGCGCCCGGGGCATCGAGGACTAAGGCTGGGGACGGCGGCTGTCACCGGGCTGCCGGCGCAGGGGGCGGCTGCTCCCGTCCCRTCCCGTCCCRYMCCRCGCCRCCCAGCGGGGCCAACGCTCCAAGGGCACTTTGTGGCACAGAGGTGGCGGGAGAGCTGCCAGCCAAGACAAAGAGCGAGCGATTGGCAAGGAGCGGGGTGCAAGCGGGGCACCGGGCGAGGGCCACAAAGCGCGTCACGACGGCGGGAAGGTGGCTGCCAGGGGAGACGGCACGAGCGGCCCTTCCTGCGCGGCACCAGCCCTGCCCCGGGCGCTGTCACCGGGAAGGCGACCGGGGCAGAGGCCCCTGCGCCACGGAGCAGCCCGTGGRGCCCTCCCTGCGCTCGCTCGGAGGCCCAGTGTGCAGCAGCTTAGAACCAAAGGGTGCTACGTGGGGAGGAGAGGCAGGTCCCGGCACCCGGCCCGGCTCTGCCGCCAGCCTCCGGGAAGGCCTTAGTGTCACACGTGGAGCAGCAGGTCACCCCCAGCGCCGCGAGGCAGCGGCAGCACCCCTCGAACGAAAAACACCCCAAATCAGAACCAGCAGAGTACTCCCAAGGCTAGAGCACGGCTGTTTGCTCAGCAAACCCCTGCCAGCATCTCTGCCTGCGCTGGGAGAAGTYGCCAGCACCACACCGTAAGAGAAGAGTCCAACGAGGGCCAGGCAGCGCCGGGAACGGCTCACGAAGGAGGGCTTGCTCGGCTCTGCCCGGCTACCAGGTCAGAGCGAGGACGTAGCAGAGGCTGTGGGGAAGGAGCCCCAGGGCCCCTCCGCCCCACACGCAGCCGGCGTGGGGCAGCAGTCCGCAGCGCTGACGGGAGGCCTCAGTTCCGCAGGGCAGCCAACCTGGAAGGCGGAGCACGAGAGGAAACCGGTGTGAGAGCAGAGGGGAACACCCGGGAGCCGGGAAGACCCTCCTTCCGTCCCCCAAGGGCAGAGAGGCAAGAGACTGCCCTGGGGCCACGGCTGCCCGGGGCCTCCGGGCCACCTCTCCCATCAAGGCTTCCCGCAAGGCGCCCACAACCACGGGTGTCTCCAGGGCCGTTCCCACCTCCCGGCCGCCCCACGCCTCAAGCCTGTGCCCAGACGGCCCCRTCGCGGCAGCGCGGGGAGCAGGGAGCTCGGGCTCCTCCTGGGGCCGCTCCAGCGAGACAGCCTGCTCCGGGAGCTGCTCGCAGGGCAGTGCCAAGCGCTCCCGGCGCGGCGCAGGGGAGGCGGTTCCGCGCCGACCGGGCGCGCGCTCCACACGCCGTGCCAGAAGCCGCCTCCAGCCCTGGTGGCCGCAGCCCCGAGCGACCCCCCTGCACCCCGGCCAAGCCCAGGGAGCGCTGCCGGGTGCCCCTAACTCCTCATCCTCCCGTAACAGGCAAACCCATCCCCTTCCCGCTGCTGCGGGATCCTTGGGAAGGGCTAACGCTGCAAAGGACGCGGGAGAGGCCCCACCTCCGCGAGAGCTGGTCCTCCTGGCTGCGCACCGAGCTCTCGCCCACGGCCGAGGCCCCCTCGGGGAGCTGGCTGAGCTGGTCCATGATCTCCAGGCCGTTCTCCTCGGCGATCTGGACGATGAGGCTGTCCACCTGCTCCTGCGGCGTGGTCAGCGTGGTAGCCGAGCTCATGGAGTCCTCCATGACCTGTGAAGGAGATGSTTGTCACCCTGTGTCACCAGCAAAGCCACCCAGCCCACATCTCCAGCTGCTTCKCGTGAAGAACTTAGAGACCCCTCATGGCCACCAGTCCCCTTAACCCAAACRGGCTCCACAGGTCAAATCTGACAGCAGGATGACAATGAAATACATGGAGCAAGATGCTGCTGGGGCCGAGCAGGCTGGGTAGCCTCTAGTTAGGACCCTGTCCCTTCCCTCCTCTCYACCCAGTTTGTCTCTTCACACGTGCCCAGCACCTCTCGTGCACGGAGCAGAGCTGCATGAGGGACACGGGCGCCTCGCCACACGGCTCCTTAGAGCCACCGAGGGGACACGGGGCTGCTCGGCGGGCCCCGGTGAGCGAGGATGGTGCCAGGCCCCCGCGGGTCCGCAGCCCCAGYGCTCACCGATGTGTGAACGTCCAGATTCTGAACCTGCTGCTCAAACTTGTCCATCACCGCAGACACCTTCTGCAGGTCCATGGAGCTCAGAGCCTTGTCCAGCGCCTTGGTCACCTGAGCCATGTTTTTCGTCACCTGCAAGACCAGACCCTTTTGTGGAAGCGTCCCAAAGAAGCGAGAGCGGGGCCGGGCGAGGGAGCAGCCTGCGCTCCCGATGCTCCCGCCGGCGCTGCAAGGCGGGATCAGCTCCGGCTGCTCAGTCCTTTGTAAGCTCAGCCTAGCTGAGCAGCGCAGAGCTACTCTAGACACCCACGTGGGCCTTTCCAACCGTGTGAACTGACCACGGGGCTCTGTGGGACCTGTGTCCAGGGATAGGGACGTTCCAGACAGCCGGAGCGGGCACGGAGACCGGAGCAGCAGGGGGAGGCTCTTACCCCCTTCATGGTCACTGCAGTCTGCACCTTGGAGGCCACGGCGTCCACGCGCGAGGCCATGCGGAGCCAGTTGAGGCCCTCGTTCTTCTTGCGGATGGCGTTCTCCGCGTACACGCGGGCACACTCCACATTCTTCTGCTGCAGAGCCTGCGGGAGCAGAGCGTCCTCTTCACGGGGAAGAAGCCGCCTCGTGTCCACGAACAAGCGCTTCCGCCCGGCACCGGGGAAGTCTGCGTGCCCTTTACAACCACCGACACACCCACGGAGAYGGAGCCACCCTTCCAGTCACACCAGTGGAGCAAAACGTCGCCCTCGAGAGCGAGGGGGAGCAGCAGCACCTCAAAAACCCCAGGCCATCCATCAGGGAGCCCATCCGGGACACACGGCGGGATCACACCCACCTTCTTGACCTTGGCCTGCTCCGCCTTGGAGTCCTTCTCGGCTTTCTTGGAGAGCTTCTCCAGCTGCTTGGCTGTGAACTGAGGGAGAGCCGGTCACGCGGAAGCGGAGCCGCGGGGCAGCGGGGGCCGGGGGGCAGCGGGGGGGAGGGCCGGGGGGCGCCGGCAGGGCCGCCGCGCTCACCTTCAGCTGGAAGAGCGTGTCTGCAAGGCAAGGGGAGCGCGGGTCAGCGCCGGGCCCCGCCGCCGCGCTCAGATCAGCACCCGGCCCTGATCCCGATCCCAGGCCCTGATCCCGATCCCGGCCCCGGGCTTTGATCCCGATCCCGGTCCCGATCCCGGGCCCTGATCCCAGCCCCGATCCTGGCCCCGGGCCCTGATCTCGATCCCGGCCCCGGGCTTTGATCCTGATCCCGGTCCCAATCCCGGCCCCGGGCCCTGATCCCGATCCCGGACCCTGATCCCGATCCCGGACTTTGATCCCGATCCCGGACTTTGATCCCGATCCCGGTCCCGATCCCAGCCCCGGGCCTGATCCCGATCCCAGCCCCTGATCCTGATCCCGGCCCCGATCCCGGCCCCGGACTTTGATCCCGATCCCGGTCCCGATCCCAGCCCCGGGCCTGATCCCGATCCCGGCCCCTGATCCTGATCCCGGCCCCGGGCTTTGATCCCGATCCCGGTCCCGATCCCGGCCCCGGGCCCTGATCCCAGCCCCGATCCTGGCCCCGGGCCCTGATCCCGATCCCGGCCCCGGGCTTTGATCCCGATCCCGATCCCGGCCCCGGGCCCTGATCCCGATCCCGGTCCCGGTCCCGGTCCCGATCCCGGCCCCGGGCCCTGATCCCAATCCCAGCCCCGGGCCCTGATCCCGATCCCGGACCCAGCCCCTGATCCTGATCCCGATCCTGGCCCCGATCCCGGCCCCGGGCTTTGATCCTGGTCCCGGTCCCGGTCCCGATCCCGATCCCGGTCCCCGTCCCGGTCCTCTCACCGTCCATTCTCAACCGCTTCCGGGAACCGCCGCCGCTTCCGGGGTCACGCGACGACCTCTCCCGAGAGGGCGGCCAACGCACGGGTCACGTGAGGGGCGGGCCTGATTGGGCGGGCAGGGCTCAGGGGGCGGGGCGAAGCTCAGAGGGGCGGGGCGGCCCCCAAATAGGTGAGGCGGAGCTCAAGGGGCGGGGCGACGCTTAGATAGGCGGAGCGAAGCTCAGGGCGCGGGGCGCTGCTTGTGTGGGCGGAGCTCCCGGCAGGGGCGGGGCGGTGTGTGAGCGGGGCTCCCAGCAGGGGCGGGGCGATGTCTGTGTGGGCGGGGCTCCCGGCAGGGGCGGGACGGTGTGTGGGCGGAGCTCCCGGCAGGGGCGCTGCTTGTGCTGTGTGGGCGGGGCTCCCGGCAGGGGCGGGGCGGNCCGGCAGGGGCGGGGCGGTGCCGGTGTGGGCGGGGCTCCGGCAGGGGCGGGGCTCGGCGGTGGCCCTGCTCCCGCAGCGGGACAATGGGTCGGAGCGCGGGGCTGCCCCGGGGCACGGGGGGACGGCCGGGCCTGGCCCTGCACTACCGGCGGCCCCGGGGCCCCGGGCAGTGGCGGCGGCACCGGGAGGGCCCCGTCCCGCTCTGTGCCCAGGGCCGCTGCGGTCCCCGGGGTGGCGCGAGTCACAAAGAGGCCGAGGTCAGCGGGCGGCGCACCCATGGGGCACATGTTCAGCAAGGGCGCCCACGGCACAGGTAACGGGACAGCCCCGCGCGCCGGGCCCKCCGCGGCCGCGCCGGCACAAAACCCTGCCACAGGCACCGGGCCCGCTCCGCCTCGCCCAGCGCATCCGCACGGAGCCGGCCGCGATTCCCTGCGGCCGTCATTCCCCGTGGCCGTGATTCCCATGGCTGTGATCCCTCATGGCTGTGATTCCCATCCCCGCAAATCCCTTCGGCCACGATTCCCATGGCCGTGATGCCCTGGTCATGATTCCCACAGCCGCAATTCCCTTCAGCCACCACTCCCCATGGCGGGGATTCCCATGGCCGCAATTCGCCATGGCTACAATTCCCATGGCCATGATTCCCCATAGGCGCGATTCCCATGGCCGCAATTCCCACCGTCCACGATTCCCACTGTCCACAATTCCCTATGGCCACAGTTCCCTCCAGCCACATTTCCCCATGGCCGCAATTCCCTCCCTGTTGGCAGCAATTCCGCCCAGCCCCTGCCCTGGTTGGTGCCTCCCGCCAGGTAGCAGCCACCGACCTAGATTTTCTCTTTCGGCACCGTTTTGTGCAGCCCACAGAGGTTTTTTGCCCGACCCGATCTCGTAGGCAGAGGGAGAGATCAAGGGCCAGCGTGTTAGGGGTTTCCGCTGCGCAAAGGGCCTCACTGTGATTAATTTGCTATAAAATCCTTTTCTCCGGCAACGCGATGGCTCCGGTCTTTCTTCTGGCTCTGCACGCGCACATAAAAAGGAGAGCAAAGAGAAACAGGGCGCCTCCCGCCGCGCTGCGCTCTCCTCCTGCTCCGAGAGCCGAGTTTTAATGAGCTCCTTTGCACACAACAAAGCTTGAAAGGGCCGGGGTGCAGGGAGGTGGGCAGCGGCTCCCCGCGGCCGCAGGGTCCTGGACACGGGATCGGGGCTGCAGCTGGGATCGCGGGAGAGCTGAGCCAACCTCTGTCCTTTGCGTCGGCGCGGGCCGCAGCRGAGGAGCAGCGCGGCGCGGCGGGGCGCCTGGGCCGGGCGCTGCGGCAGGCGGTTCTCCCCGGCCGCCATGGCCCCTCCGGCAGCGCCGGCGAGCTCCCGGCGCCGCAGCCCGGCCACGCGCCCGACGGGCCGCACCACGCAGGTAGGCGGGAGCGCGGAGCCCGGCTCCTCGGGCGCTGCTCGGCGGCTCCCGTTTCCCTGGGGGGGCAAACGGGCGGGAGCAGTGGGGCTGTCCCGGCTCCRCTGGTCATGGAGGCAAGGCTGACATCCCGAGGGCTCCTGCGGGAGGATGAGTCCGGGTGTCTCTGACGCCGGTCCAGGTGTCCCTGCCACGGGTCCAGGTGTCCCACGGTGAATCCAAGTGTCCCTGACATGGGTCCGGGTGTCCCTGCTATCAGTCCAGGTGTCCCACTGTGAATCCAAATGTCCCTGACACAGGTCCAGGTGTCCCATGGTGAATCCAAGTCTCTCTGCCATGGGTCAGGGTGTCCTGCTGTGGATCCCAGTGTCCCCACTGTGGGTCCACGCGTCCCTGCTGTGGATCCCGGTTTCCCAGCTGTAGCTCTGGGTGTCCCTGTGTCCCTCTCGCCGTGCTGCCAGCTTTGTCCCCGGCTCTCCCTGGCTCCCTAGGACTCACAGTGCCGCAGCCAGCCTTGCCTCGTCACCGTTGGCTTCCCCGACCCCTGTTCAGCAGAGCCCCCTGCACCCTGCCCAGAGAAGGCCTTCGCCTGACGTGTCCATGAGCCTCCCTGGGCCTCTGCGTGCTTCCTGCGCCATTCCCCACCTCGCAGCAAAGCGGCTCAGGGGGCCCCCTTACACTGGGCTTTGTTTTTGTTTTTCTTTTGTTTTCTTCTGTTCCTTTAGGGGAAAAAGTGACCAAGAAGAAGACTCATATTCCCAAAATCGTTATCACGGGGCCGCTGGATGACTCCATGTCGCTGCGGTCGGCGGACGACCTCCCGCAGACGCAGACCATCCGCGAGCTGGCCGACCTGGGCCCCTACCGGATGCACCGGCAGCCCAGCACGGTGGAGGCGTACCGCCCGTGCCCGGAGGCGGCGCGGGGCCCCGCCACCATAACAGGCACCGAGTGACAGCGCAGCCTCTCCCGGCCTCGCTTCCCGGCCTCGTTCCCTGCTCTCATTTCCCGGCCTCGCTTCCCGGCGCCGCCGCCGCAGGCCGCGCTTAGCAACGGTTGCCAAGGGCCGCCGGGGAGGGGGGGGAAGGCAGTGCTGCGCATGCGCGAATATGGGTTCCGTGGTCAGGGAGGCGTCAGGACGCATGCGTGAGGGTGGCTTGGAGAGGGAGGGACGGTGCGGCGCATGCGCAAGGGAGAGGCGGTGGCGCGGCGCATGCGCGGGGGTGGGTTCTGCGGCGGGAGGGGCGGTGCGGCGCATGCGCAAAGCTGGCCCGGCGGGGGGGGCCTCACGGCGCATGCGTGTGTGTGTGTTGGGAGGGCGGGGGGAGCGCGGTATGGCGGAGGGGGCAGGTGCCGCCGGTACCGCCGCGGAGGCGGAACCGGAACCGGAACCGGAGCTGGAGCCGCTGCGGCTGCGGCGCCTGCGCGGGGAGGGGTTCTTCGAGGTGCCGGCCGCGGACCGCGTGAGTGCGGGGCGCCCGGCGGGCTGGGCGGGGGGCTCGGGGCCTGCGCAGGGGCCGGGAGCGGGACGGGGACCCGGTTTCGGGGCGTCCTGAGCGGGTGGGAACGGGAGGCGCCCCCGGGGCTGCCCCTCGGGCGCTGGGTTGTCCCCTCACGGGAGCGCGGGGCTGCGGCGGGGCCGTGTGCCGGGCGCGGCCGAGCAGCCCGGGCCGCTACCGGCCCCTGCGGCGCTGATGTGACCGCGGCCCCCCGAACCTGCCCCGCGCGGTGCCGCCCTCCCGGTGTCGCCGGGGCCAGCGCGCCAGCAGGGCCCGCACGGAGCAACCTGTGCGTGTGGGCACCCCCAAGGCCGCGGGCACCCCCAAAGCCGCGCTCCCCCCGCGGGCCGTGACGCTGCCCTTTGCTTCCAGCTGGGAAGATGCCGGAGCGTGAAGGAGTTCGAGAAGCTCAACCGCATCGGCGAGGGCACCTACGGCATAGTGTGTAAGTGCTCGGGCGCCCCGCGGGAACGGCCCCGGGCTCACAGTGCCGTCTCGGGCAGCGGGGGCAGAAGCAGCGTGTGGCTCGCGGCGCTGAGCGTGTGGCCGGCCGTGCTGCCGCAGACCGGGCCCGCGACACCCTCACGGATGAGACGGTGGCGCTGAAGAAGGTGCGGATGGACAACGAGAAGGACGGTACTGAGGAAGCAGCGCCGCGCTGGGCCGCGGCTCCTCGCCGTGCGCGTGGCCCCCGCGGGGACCCCGCCAGCCCGGCCCTCGCTGCCCGCAGGGATGCCCATCAGCAGCCTGCGCGAGATCACGCTGCTGCTGCAGCTGCAGCACCCCAACATCGTGGAGCTCAAGGAGGTGGTTGTCGGGAACCACCTGGAGAGGTGAGAGGCCCCCCGTYGGCTCTGTCTGTCGGTGGCTCCTCTCGCCGCGATGCTGCTGTCRCGGGGCAGCCCTGTGCCGTGAGCTGGAGCTGGGTGACAGGCCCAGCCGTGGCTCCCCTGCCTGCCCCGTGTCCTGCAGTATTTTCCTGGTGATGGGCTACTGCGAGCAGGACCTGGCCAGCCTCCTGGAGAACATGCAGACGCCCTTTTCCGAGGCGCAGGTAATTGCTGGGAGCACCAGCCAGGAGAGTGGCTCTGGCGCAGCCAAACGCCCCGGCCGCCAGCAGGGGTTCCCCAGGCCACGGGGTCCCCCAAACCTCRTGCTCCTGCTCTGGGGGGTTTATCACAGCTGAAGTATTAATTCCTGGGCCACACAGACAACTTGGGCTTTCGCATAGTGTTTTCAGAGCCTTTCCAGGCCRGGTTTTTGCTGGAGCAACGTGGCAGGGAAGCAGAGCAGGAGGCTGGGGTGTGAAGACACCTGCAGGGAGCTGGGGGGATGCTTGGGGGATACAAAGGACTGAGGTGGTGATAGGGAGACCTGCACATTGCAGCAGTGTTGCCCAGAAAGCACCCTGGGGACCACATGGCCACGTTGTGGTTGCCTTAGCGGGTTAAACTTGAAGGGTTGATCTGGCTGGTGCTGCGAACCTGAGGGCTTGCTGCTCCTGTCCCCAGGTGAAGTGCATCATCTTGCAAGTYCTCAGGGGCCTGCAGTACCTTCATGAGAACTACATCATCCACAGGTGGGAGCAGAAGGTCAGACGTGGTGGGAAAGCGGCTGGGCCAGRTGGCAGGGAGAACTGGGATGGGCTGGAGAGGGGCTGCGGAGCCTTCACACTGCCACGCGCTTCCTCAGCTCCTTCTCCTTGGAGAAGGGAG